GCATTTTTTTTAAAAATTCAATTATTTTATTAACATTTATTATTTTTGCGATACAAATCTCTTAATGTAATTTTCATCATTCTACTATGAAATTTTATATTGAATATGACATCAAAAATTTTCGAAATTTTACATCCGAAAAAAGTCACATCCCATGTAAATTTTCGAATGTAAAATTACATGGGTTATGATTTTTTTGGACTTAAATTTTTCGATTGTAAAATTTCTCGTAACTTTTTTGTAAGTTCAATTGTGACCTCTAACTTTTAAATTCTCCGTCCGCCTCTTGCAACGGGATTGGACTGTTGAATACTTGTCTACCTAACCCGACCCGTTTTCTGACTGAGCCTGAAAGCTACGTGGCAAACTGGCAATCCAAACATCCCTTCATTCCCCCATCGTTCACACTCAAATGGATTCACCAAATCAATCCCCTCATTCTCATGTTACTAATGAGTCCAGCAATCCCGTACAAATCACCGTTCATTTACCTTCCTCAGACCCTAATTTCAATTCCAGTTCCAACACAAACCACCCTGATTTGAACCCCAATTTAGTCCAAAATGACTTCCTTTCACAACCAATACCCAGAAAAAGAAGGCGCGGAAGCCCCCCTACTCCGACGACGTCTACATTCCAGGTACACAAGTTGACCTCTTCGTCAAATACTAGTAGCTTTGGGAACGCGTTACATTTAAGTTCAGCCCAAATTAAAAAAACCGAGGTGGAAAATTTGCATAATTCAATTCAAATGAACCCTAGCCCGAGTTCAATTTCTAGAAACTTGTTCAAGAAAACTGTAAATGTCGTGTCAGATGAGATAATTGTGATTAATGATAAAGCCAAAGAGGAGGCCTTAATAGCCTTGACCGCAGGGTTCCCAGGCGATTCACTTATTGGCGCAGAAGTAGATGCTGAGGTGGTTAAAGATGTGGGCGGAATAGAGCAGGTTAATTATATATTGGTTAGGAATCATATAATTTCTAGGTGGCGTGATAACACGTCGGAATGGCTGACTAAGGATATGTTTGCGGATTGTATTCCGAAACATTGTCGGGGACTGTTGGACCCTGCATATGATTTCTTGGTTTTGCATGGGTATATTAATTTTGGGGTGGCACCTGCAATAAAGGAGAGAATTCCATTGAAACCAAGTAAGCCAAGTGTGATTGTGATAGGGGCAGGGCTTGCCGGATTGGCTGCTGCAAGGCAGTTGATGACTTTTGGGTTTAATGTGATTGTTTTGGAAGGGAGGAAGCGTGCAGGTGGCAGGGTTTACTCGAAGAAGTTGGAGGGTAAGAATATGATGGCTGCTGCGGATTTGGGCGGGAGTGTTTTAACAAGTACATTGGGAAATCCACTTGGGATTTTGGCACAGCAGTTGTCATGTACACTTCATAAAGTGAGGGCTAAGTGTCCGCTTTACAGAGTGGATGGAAAACCTGTGGACAAAATTTTGGATGACAAAATGGAGAAAACTCATAATCAACTTTTGGAAAAGGTAAGCATGCTGAGGAAGTTGATGGGAGATGTTTCACAGGATGTTTCTCTTGGGGCTGCATTGGAGACATTTTGGCAGGTCATTGGAGATGCAGCTAGTGAAGAGGAGATGAAATTGTTCCATTGGCATCTTGCCAACTTGGAATATGCAAATGCAGGTTTGATTTCGAAAATATCACTTGCATTTTGGGATCAAGACGATCAATATGATATGGGAGGAGATCACTGCTTTGTCACTGGAGGAAATGGAAGATTGGTTGAAGCGTTGGTGGAGAATGTTCCAATTCTTTACGAGAAAACTGTGCAAGCTATTAATTATGGCAGCGATGGAGTGCAGGTTTTTTCCGGGAATCAGGTTTATGAGGGTGATATGGCTCTTTGCACCGTTCCACTTGGGGTTTTGAAAAGTGGTTCCATCAAGTTTGTCCCCGAGTTGCCCCAGAGGAAGCTGGATGCAATAAAGAGGTTGGGATTTGGCCTGTTAAACAAGGTTGCGATGCTGTTTCCGGAAGTCTTTTGGGACACTGATCTTGATACATTTGGGCATCTCACTGATGATCCTAGCTGTCGTGGGGAGTTCTTTCTTTTCTACAGCTATGCAACTGTAGCTGATGGTCCTGTCTTGATTGCTTTAGTAGCAGGAGAAGCTGCTCATAAGTTTGAGACCATGCCCCCTCCAGATGCCGTGGAGAAGGTGCTTCAGATTCTTAAAGGTACATACATGTGCATCGACTTTATTTACACTAGTAAAATTGTCATGTATTGCTGTTCGACTTTTTATGCAAATCGAATTGTGCTCAGCATTTACTGGAAGCTTTCTCATAGTTGACTACCATTCATTTTCCTTGCCATTTTATACACGCTAGTTGAAGAAAGAATCTGTTGTATCTTTTGTATTCGTGTTTTGGGTTCCATTTCACCTATATATTCCATCTTTTCCAAGTGCTTCTCCCCCTTCAACAAGAACTCGCGACCGATATAATTAATGTTACTTTTTGGTAGGACCTTATCCTGGTTTAGGCATTAAACTTAATCATTGGATAGCTAGGTTTCCGAACAATCAATTTTTTGAGCTCAGGGCTGTAATTTTAAATTTTAATAAGCTTCTTTCATTTTAAATGTCAGTTGTAGAAAAGGAAAGTAAATAACTTTCCATGAGAATTTGACATAATGGACATCTCCTTTAGGATAAAGGAAAGAAAATTTTTTGACGAGGAAATCGAGATGGAAGACTATTTTTCAGAAATATTTATATCGGTGAAGCCAAAATTGGATGTTTCAGGGAATGAATCCTCTAGCGCATCTCATAATATAACTGTACTTGTTGACCGCTTCAACGTGACAAAGTATATTTCAAATGCAGACGTCTATGAACCACAAGGAATTAAAGTTCCAGACCCTATCCAAACTGTCTGTACAAGATGGGGCATTGATCCCTTTTGCTTGGGCTCTTACTCTAATGTTGCAGTTGGGGCATCAGGAGATGACTATGATATTATTGCAGAAAGTGTGGGAGAAGGGAGGCTTTTCTTTGCTGGCGAAGCCACAAGTAAGCTCTATCCTGCAACTATGCATGGTGCTTTCCTTAGTGGGTTCAGAGAAGCTGCCAACATGGCTAATTGTGCTAAAGCTAGAGCCGAAAATGCAAAAGTGAAGGAAAACCCATCAAAGAATGCATATGTTTGTGCTTCTATTCTTGCAGATTTATTCAGGGAGCCTGATCTGGAATTTGGTAGCTATTCTATAATTTTTGGTAGAAAAGATTTTGATTCAATGGCAATTTTAAGGGCGTCATTTAGTGTATCAAGAAAAAAGACTGATCAACAGCATTCTAATGAATTACTTTTTGAGCATCTTCAGCGGCATTTTAATCAGCAGCAGGAGTTTCATCTTTATACCCTGTTATCTAAACAGCAAGCTCTGGATCTGAGAGAGGTGAGAGGGGGTGATGTGATGAGGCTGAATTACCTCTGCAAGAAGCTTCGAGTGAAACTCATCGGGAGAAAAAGTTTGGGGCCAGCTGCAGATTCTGTTATTGCTTCAATAAAGGCTGAGAGGAGCCAAGGCAGACCATCAAGTTCTCTGAAACCTGGTGGGTTCTCTTAGTTAACTAACTTATAGCCTGTTCATGCAGGGGTTATGCTTATGTTATCATAAAATTCTTTATTTAATTTGTTAGAAATCAAAGTGTGATAAAATGAAATTCACTGTCTACTTTTTGCTTTAATAGAAAGATAGAGGCAGTGGTTTATAATATAGAAGTCGGAAAACAACACCGAGTTCTCAAAAAGAAAGAAGTTGAAGGTAGAACACTCGCATGAGTGTCCTAAATAGCTTTATGGATGCGTATAGAGCATAAGATAGAAAGTACTAAAATGACATTATATGTAAGAATGTGTATTATGTGTATTAACCACAAACTGATTGATCGGCATATATAGGTGAAAAAATGAAAAAAATAAAATAAAAGGATGAAATGGGTTTAATTTAAACATATAAAATTAAGGGGAAATAGCTCTTGTTATTAGGAAAACTGGCAAGGAATGTAAGCTACTGTGTAACACTTCTTCCATCATTATGCAAATTACCTTTAGAATACAAATATAGTTATACGTTCATGTAACTTCCACATGTACATCAGGTAGGGATGGAAAAAATCCCCCCGATCCCCGATCCCCATGGAAACATGCTCTGAACGAGGTGGGGATTCTCCACTTAATCGGGTCCGTTGGTGCGGACAGGGCTCAGCCCGCAGCTGGGGATTGGGTGAGGACGGGGACCATGGTCCCCTGTCCCGAGTTCATCTCTTATAGTTATATATTTTAAAAATTTAAAAATTGCCCCATTTCTAATAGGGAAGGACCACTAAATGGCCAACGCATTATGTCCTTTTTAGTAAATGACCACTTTTTGCATAATTTAGCAATATGGTTAAATGAAACTATCTAAAATACCCTTAATGTTACAACTTCCCATAAAACCTAATCATTACTTGGTAGGTTCACAACTTTTGAAGTAAATCTTAAAAATTTACAAGATTCATTTTGCGAAGAGGTTTGGTGGTACACTAGTAAGTTTTTGGAAGATAATTTGACTAATCAAGTCTCAAGATAATGTCAACCTAAGAAGCACCGGTACTTGTAAACTCAATACGTATCCGTATTCGATACGTATCCAATCCAAGTTTGGATACTCTCCAATACCCGAATAGATATTTTTAAATTATTTTTATATTTTAAAATTTTTCGATACGTATTCTATACTTTTTTTTAATTATTTTCAACGTATTCGATACGTTAGGACATGTGGAGAAGAGCGTTATTGGTGAGTTTGATGTCGTCACTAATCAGTATAATATGGATTCAAAGACATTCACCTGCATCTTTGCTTCAAAGCATTGCTTTGAAACTTCTTGTGCAACCTTCTTCTTCATCTTGTGCCGAAAGAAATTGAAGTACGTACTTTTTTGTGTACTCTATAATAAGGAATAAAATAACTCCACAACGAGTTGAAGAATTGGTTTTCATTCATAGTAATCTACGTTTTTTATCAAGAAAATTAGATTTTTATTCAAAAGGAAAATCCAAAATGTGGGACATTGTTGGAGATTCATTTGATACTCTTGAAGGTGGTGGAACGCTTGAGGTTGCTAATCTATCATTAGATGAACCAGAGTTCGAGAGGATTAATGAAGAAGCTAACATTGAGGATATTGAACAAAATAAAGTCGGGACAATTAAGGATTAAGATAAAATATTTTAGTATTTTATTTTATTTTTATTATTATGCTTCTATTTAATTTTTTATATATTAATAAAATTACGTCGAATTTTATAACACGCATTAGCGTATACTAATTTTTTTTTTTAAAAAAAATTGTATTGTCGTGCATGTATTGTATCTATTCGAATTACCTATCGATATCTGTGCTTCTTAAATGTCAACTGTCTAAGTTGGATGGTTGAAACTATTGAATAGTTGAATGGTCTTCCGAAGACGGTTAAAATTGTCTCCCATCTTCTTAGGAAGTTAAAACTATTTCTCGAGACAATTAGAGTTGCCTAATGTACCCGCAACTCTCAAGCTATTTTTCTCTCTCCCAAAAAAAGTGTGTTGATATACGAAATTCCCTTTCTATTACAAAAATGTAAATAAATAAATAAGTAAAAAAATTACCAAACAAAGGCTTATCGTCATATTATGCAAGCAAATCTAGCAACCATATGTTGAAAAACAAAAAATTAGATAAAAAACGAAACGGGGTGGTGGGCATCCCTACCCCGACCCCGCATTGAGGCTTGCCTCAAAGAAAGGTGAACAAAAAGCACCTCAAGTGCGGATTGTGACTTGTGAGAGAATTTCTGGAGATGCACCTTAGTTGAGTGAGGCACGCGTCTCGAGACTTGTGAGGTGTGCAGTCCTTAATTCTTCAGACTTATTTACTTATTTTAGGTGTAGGCTCCCTAAACTTTAAAAATTTGGGTTTATCTACATTTTGAATATCCTAATAAACATTAAAAGTTTGCGTTTTCGGATTAACCAACTTTGGGGATTATCTATTACAAAAGAAAAAAAAAAAGATTATGTTTCTTGTAGATCTAATTTGGGAATAGTCCATATGCCCCACCAACTAAATTATTAGTAGTGATGGCAATGAGACGGGTTCGGGGCGGGGCACCCTCACCCCACCCCGCCCCGCCCCACGCCCCGCTCCGCCCCGCCCCGTCCCACACCCCGCCCAGCCTTAGATGGGAGGGGAGGGGCGGGGCGGGGCGGGGCGGG